TTCAATTCAAAATGGAGATGTAAACTGATTAATCTGACTATCTAATATCAACTCATTATTATTACTATTATTATTAGAAGTAGTGTTGCTTGGCAAACTTTCGCGTCTAATATCAAATATACGTAAATTTGGCATATGTGATAATATCAATTTTTTCCCATCTGTTACCATCCATATATGCTACATCACTATTATAGTTTATCGAAACTCTTAAAGCTTGAATTTTAGCGAAAAGATCAACGAAAAGTTGTTCGAATTGATCAAACATTATGTAGTTTAATTTGAGAGAAACATGTGTCAAATGATTTAATACAGCTGGACGTATTTTTCTCAGCTGCATCCCATAGTGTTCTTGTACCTGAATAGAAAAACGACGAAGTTGAGGAACATATGATATCAAATCATTAAGGTGGTCCAAGTATATGTCATTGTTGATGACTAAATATTCGACTGGACTGTAAACATTATCAACTAATGATAGTGGATCGTCGTCCCTATTGTAACGTTCCATGGACAATTTGCAATATTTTAATACAGGCAGATGAAATATTTGATGATAGATAACATTCGGTTTTTTAATATAATCAGCAGTACTAATAGCCAATGAAGAGAGAAATGGCAAAGAAATTAATTGAACAAGAATTTTTTCCAGATATTTTGATTCAATATTATCTAGAACAAGTCTTTCAAGTCGGAAAAGTTCTGATATTATTCGAATTGGCGAAGAAACGAGATCATAAATGAATAGATTTGATAAATGAAGTGAATTGATTCGATGGGTGTTGGTCATGATAATATCTGTATAGTATCGTTGATAAGTGGATTTCGACATGGATGATATATTAATTTTAATAGGAAGAGATGAATTAATAGCAAGATTGTGAAATCGTACGTTAAGATTGAAAAAAGCTTCATATACATGAAAATAATCGAGAAATTCGAGTATATCATAGATAAGTTCATTAGAAAGATCTTCAAAATGAGTAATAGTTTCTTCTGATAAGCTATAAAGAGAAAATTCAGTTTAAAGAATATATTCTGATGGCTCACCAATTGTTATAATTCTTAATTCGTATCTTTTTTCTCTTGTTATTATCATTATTATGAAAAAAATTGTCACGTTGACGCTTTAGTTGTTCCATACAGAGATATATGTAGAATTCTAAAATAAATAGAAAATTGTTTGAGAAAATTATTTATTTGAAATCGCATTAGAAACGAATATACATAAATAGTACATTGGGTGCCTGCTTTAAAAACTATTCACAGAAGAGAAACGAAAAATCCGAAAAGAAAAAAAAACATCTGAATGATTCATTTGAAGGACATTGTATAAACGAGCTTTACTACATACTTCATTGTATTTAAAACTTGGGTGAAAATTTTATATCCGCAGGCAACAAAAATTAAGGTGATTATTGTAATTAGATTTTTTAGTGGCATATAACTATGAAACTGATTAATCAGCTTTCATTGATTTTTCACCATATACCATACACTTGCATTATATTTTACGAAACAAGAAAAAAAGTAGAAAAAATGAATGCACATGAAAGCGAAGAAAAAGGTATAATAAAGAAGAACGAAAGAAAAGCAATATTGCACTTCATTTTTGATTATGAGTTATAGAAAGTGATATAAAAGTTGGAATTTTCCCCCAAGATCAAAAAAATATATAAATCAATTCGGAAAATTCAAATGAATCACAATCATCGATAAATGAATGAAAAATTTTCATACTTCATAATATTATTCTCGTTATTGATCGTACATTTTCCTCGATTCTTTCTATATATTGTATTACGACATTTTTTCGATACATGTTTATGAGATTATAAAACTCACCTGAATATCCAATTACAATTCTAATAAGTCATCATGATTTTCTCTGTTTCTGTGCAACATCACAGATACTACATCTATAAGATGTTCCAAAAATTTGTCGGCAAACTAAACTTAAAAATCTCTTATATCGAATAATTCAGAAGAAATAGTTAATTTCTTTTTTGATATTTTTTTTTACATTGATTCTTTTAGCTACCGTCTCTCTGTTTTATCACTGAAAAATACAGCGTAAAATTCTCTACCAAGTAGTTTATCTTTATTTAACGAATACAGTGTTTATTATTTTGTAATACATGACACAATTGTTCAGAAAAATCATTACAACTTTCTAAAATAGTTTTGAGATGGATGGATGTAGACGTATATTCTTCATTCACACCCACTCTCACGAATATTGTAATAATGAAAGTACTACCAGTTCTATTAAAATATGGCAAGAAAATGCTTGGTAATGATTGAACTTATCAACAAGGTCGAGCCACGGCACATACTTATCATCTGATATAAAAATGGTGTGAGAGAAATGTTTCAGCTTTCATTGCTAAACACTGAGTGCCAGCAAATAGTCTGGATTTAAATCGTTCAGATTATTTTAATTGAAATGAATTAGGTCAAACACTGAACTAGAATCGGATTCGAACAAAACTGACATGGATTTAACAATTGAAATATGTCATTAAGAAAGTCAAATTCGAAACTATTTTAGAAAGCTGTAATGATTTTTCTAAACGATATTATCGCTTAGTGATAAAACAGAAAGACGGTAATCAATGATCAATGCAAAAAATATCAAAAAGCAAATTACTCATTTCGTTTGGATCACCTGATACAATTTAACAGTGTTTTCTATAATATAAAAGTATGTTCTCTGGGGTTTTATTTAACATGGTATGTGATACGCATTTGTATCTATGCATGTTCAGATAAGATCGTCTTTATTAGTCATCAACTTCAGGTCATCTACAATGATGAAACAAGAATTATACTAGTCAAATTTGATAACGAACGCAATAGTGTAGCTTTTTGTAAGAATATATGCAATTCTTGTACGAAATTGGGATTGCTACAAATCGAAAATGCTCTTCAACAAAGATTATTCTATTTAACAAAATGAATGGCAACCAAGTATTCACTTTGTCACAATATCTTGCTAATACCCACGAACAATTGTATATCAAGTTATGATTCAAATATATAAAATTTGAATACAAAAGTCAGAGGACTGTTCGAGTTTTTTAACAAAATGACTCTCATTTTATTGAGTTTATCAATAAACAAAATAAAAATCAACATCTATAGAATGCTTGAAAAAAGATTATGTCCATTTAAAAATGAGAATTAATAATAAAAGCAAGTAGATAAAAACAATCAATATTGTACCATACTCTTTGGATTTTATGAAAATACTGGGTATATGTGTTTTACTTGATGGAAATGATTATTAACATTGGTTGTTTAATTGAATTATATGAAATAAAATCTCAAAAGACACACTATCATATAATAAAAAGAAGTAATCATATTGCTTGCATTTTCTATTTTTAAGAGACAATTGCGTTGATCTATTCGACAGACTTTTGGAACACCTTGTATATGTTAAAAGTATTATGAAGAAAAGTTTCAACTTTTCATTCATAAATCAATAACTTATTGTTATAAGTGAAATCATCCACGATATAATTTAATACAGAATTCAGACTTTTTTCTGGGTACTTTTAACAGTAGTTGATCACAAAAAAAACATTAGGAAATTCAAACATTTTTTGACATGTTCCATTTTTTAGAGTTTTTCCACTGATGATTTTCATAAAAAAAGTTTATACTTTCATCAATGAACGATAGTGCTGAAGATAATACACTGAAAAATGTCAAATTGCTCTCGTACTCTTGAGAAATACGATACTTCCGAGTATTTTGATTCAAGCACTTATTTGTTGATGGGAACAGATACTTTGTTTGTATGAAAGTAATCGTAAAAAAAACACTTTACACAGTGGAATATTCCAGAAGAACTTTTGGATATTTAGATGCTTTTATGGTTGGCTATCCATGAAAGTACTCTTTCAAAGGCTACCTGTAGCCGTCTAAATTCTTCGGAAATTTTCTCTATCACGATATTGAAAAGAAAATTAGGAGTGGCCAGCAAAGTCAGATACTCTGTCGAAAAGTGAAAGATTACAAATAAATTATTTTATAAATAAACAAATTTAAGAAGATGAAGAGTTCGATTCATATAACATAAATACAATATCTATTCTTTGTCTTTGGCAAAAACTGGAACTTTTCTCCCTTTTAAAAAGATAAGTATAGTTTTAAGATATGTTACTAAACGTTTTGTTCATAAATAAAAACTTTTAACTCTTCTTTGTCATCAGGAAAATAAAAGAGATTTCTAAATCAAAACAGGATGAAATTATAGAACTTCGCTTTTGGTAAGTTACTTTTCGAAAGCCGTATATATAAGAATACAAGGGAAAAGTTTTCAGCTTGTCCACAGGTAATGCACTCGCCCATTTTGGACTTCCAATAGTCATTACTCAATAAACTAACATGGTAAATGGCTGCAATTTACATCCCAGCAATATTATAGGAAAGTTCTCGTTTCATTAAAATGTTCATTTCATTTGGTCAAACTACGACGACTCTAAAAGGATAGATAGTTATCGTAACGCAGTCATCCTAAATGACTCTTTACGTCAAAGCGATTCAAAAAGGTTCACAATTCTTGAAATTTTCGTACTCTAAAAAAATGTTTTCGTTTGTGTTTGTGGCTAAGACAACAGACCTTACAATGGTAAGATACTTTCTTTGGAAGTTTGTTCCTACAAAGAGGATGTGAGTGCGAGTCTGCGTGTTTTCACGAGAGTGGAGAGAGAAACTATACCTACACCCACACATTCTCAGAACTATCAGGTTCCCTAATGACCACAGCAAAATATTTTAATTCGATCAGCAATGAAAATACTAAGATAATATCAGAATATCAGAAACGGAATTCTCTCATAGAGCTTGATGCAAAATGATTTGTTTTCCTTTTCGTTCACGATGGCCTGATAATCGATATAAAATAGTCTTATTCGAAACAATTTTATTATTTGATCACTTGTTCAATACTATGATGAGAATGATAAAGCAAAGTCAATTTTCAAGAACCATCAACTTCGATCAATGTTGAACTTTTGTACTCGATTATTTCCATTATCACTTACGTAAAGATTGCCCTCTAGATCAAATGACAAACCTCTTGGACAATAGAGTTGATTCGATTGATTTCCTTGACCATTTCCACCAACGATGACACTACCCTGTAGGGCTCCTTGAGACCAACGCATTATTCTATGATTCCCGTTGTCAGCCACATACACAGTACCTAAATGATCCACGACAACTCCGAAAGGAGATGATAATTGTGTCAGGCTATTTCCTTGACCTTGACCACCAGCCACAACTATACCTTGTTTTGCATCTTGCGCCCATTTCATCACGCGGTGGTTACCCAAATCTGATACGTAAACTGAATGATCTCGATCGACAAATACGTGTCTCGGATTAACCAGCTGATTGAGTTGATTTCCTTGTCCGTTTCCACCTGCAACCACTATTCCTTGATTTTCTCCCATTCTATATCGTTTCACCTCATGTTTGTCTGAATCAGCAACGTAGAGAAATCCATCATCATCCATTGCCAAGCCAAAGCATCGAACATTTAAAATAATCGTTTCTCCGTTTGCACCATTTTGACGAGGCCATCGAACGACTCTTCTATTTTCGTACTCGCAAATAATAAGACCATCTCCTTCTTTATCAATAATCACATCTGCCGGAGCATTCAACTGATCAGAACGGTTTCCTGATCCATTTCCCCCGGCCACAACTCGGCCGGTCGTCGAACCACATTTCCATTCAACAAGACGATGATTCGACCAATCAGCAATGTACACAGTTTGATCATCATCAACATACAAACCATTTGGACTGTCGAGCTGATTCATTCCACTCCCGCGTCCAGTTGTTCTAGAGACAGTAGTACCACTCTGTATCCATTTTGCATTGGTATTCAGATTTGCATTGCGTAATGATTGTGCTAAAAAAACAAGATTGCACTCATTCATATTGAATTAATGTGCGTGTATGAAAAATAATATTCGAAATAAGGAACTGGTATTGAGAGAAAGAACAATTTAATTCAAATTTCATATTGAAGAATGCCTTGATGGTAGATGTTCACATGTCTAAGGTGGTTTTGCCTAAGGTGACTGTAATTGTCTTTCAGAAAACAACATTCGGTTATTATGTTGATTGGGCTTGTCTTAAAGATTTTCGAAAGCGTTTTTTGGAGCAGATGAGACTTGTTGAAAATTGAAGAGCGTACGGTTCTCACTTTTTTGCACGTTTGAAACAGAAAGTAGAATATTTTTCAAATGAGATTGTTTTTCGATACTGATCGATAAAATTTCTCAAGATCTTGTTAATAATTTTCGCAATAGTATCGTATTGTCTATTTCCTCTCTGATTTAAGCTCAAATGTCAACGAGATTTGTAGAACCCTTTTTCGTGGGCATATTCTGTGACATTATGTTCATTTATGTTTAGTTTAAAACCAAATCATTTCATGTCTACCACTTCAATGTAATTTTGTTTTAGTTTTGACAAATGTAGAATATTTATCAAATATCTCACTGTTGTAGATGATTGTTCTTACATATCGAAGATATGGAAGAGTGAATGTTAAGTGTTTTGAGAATACGTTTTCAGAAATTTCAATGAAAATAATCGTCTTGTGTAATATCGTCAGTATTTTACTATTTAAAATTATTTCTCTCTCTCTCAACAGTGAAGATTTTATAAGAAAAGCTTAGTGGCTCAATGTATCATCATATTGTAATTTCAGAATGAAATTCTTTAACTTGAGGAGTTCTGCGATGAAATGCTATTTGAATGGTCAAAGAATTCATTCTGATTAACCGAGAAAACAAGATGAAAAAACTCTGTGAATTCTTTCGATTTCGGCTAGAACACAAGGTTTACCTTTCGTTTTAAGACGAATTTTATTGATAAAAGATGTTGAATCGTATTCAAGTTTGAAATCTGGTGGACTGCTGAGAATATCTTTCAATCGCTTCAGTTCTCCATTGAAAAACTGAATGTCTGGATCAGCAAAATCATTGTCTTTACGATTTTGAATGAGTTGTTCTGTCAAATGCTTCAATTTAAGGTCGAGATTGGTGACAAATTTGATGACACACGATGAGAGTTCATGGCGAACTTCATTGGCCACTTGTCGAATCTTTTCGATTGATTCGCGTTCCCATTCATCAATTTGTTTCGTTAATTCGTGTTTTTGAGGATCTGCTTTTTGTTCCTCGATTCCAATTTTGAACTCATTAAACTGATCTTCAGTTTTACCTAATTGCTCGTTTAATTCACTATAATGTTCGTTGATGTGGTCAAGACAAAAATCTTTCGAACAGCCTTTACATGTTACAATGCCTTTTGTTTTCTTGCATTTGACACAAATTGTTCCCTGTGTAGCTGTCGCCATGTAAAGACCTTCTATAGAATAAAAAAACAAATGAAAGAGTATTGACAACATCACATGTCAACACTATTTGAGTTCGTTCTATGTTTTGTCAATAAAAGAATTCTTGCATCATCAAAGTTTATCGTTGTGTATTTACGTGCCATCGTGGAAAAATCCACAGCCAATAGAAATTTAAGCTTCAAAACAATGCATCAAACTAAAGGAGATTTCTTTCCCTGCAATGTGAGCTTGTTAAACTCAATTTTGAGAGCAAAACAGAATCAAAATCGATACTGGCGATGGAAGGTTTGAGATATCGAACACTCAATCTGTTGATGTTTGCCATTATAGATGAAATTAAAACTCTTTTGTAGAATTTTCAATGGTTTTATGTAGAACTCGATTAAAATCATTCGAACTTAACTTCTTAAAATTAGTTATAAGTCGAAGAAGTCTGTTATGTAAACGGATATTATTTATAAAAAATCTGTTTAGCATGATCAATGCAATGAATATTTCTGAGAAAAGTCGAAATCGAAAGACACTCGTCAAATGTTTTCACATAAAAGCAACACTAACTATACAAATAATTTTCATTGTTTGATAAACACGAATGAAAAATTAAAAAGATTTATTTTGTAGATATTGTGAAATTCTATAGAGAGTTTTTTATTCGAATTAATTACACGAAAACAAAATAACAACAACCTCAAAGATTTGATTGAAGCTTCATATTTCGTATTGGCCGTTAATATCCTATTTGAATCAATTCTCTTATGACAATTGATTCATCTTGATTACTAAACATTATGCCACGATTAACATGCGAAGCGCAATACTAAAGTGTTATTGGGTTAATTTCACAAATTGTTATGAAGATACGAAATTTTAGCCAAATGTTTGAGTTCTAAATAAATGATAAAGAGAGTAAATATATATATTTTTCAAAATAATATTCTGATCATCAATTAAACATAAGATTTCTGTAAGCAATAAGAATTGTACTACAAAAATACAATAATATTTTCGTAGTGATTTCATATCAAGATTTACAAAATACCTTCAATGGCTGCTGGATTATAATCATGAAATTCTCCTTTCTCAGTTCTCATCATAGACAATTGTCGTAATATTAAATGCTACCGGGAAAAATCACTGAAATGACAGTATGAAACTCCCAATGCCATTGTTAACAATAAAATTTACAGCCTGTTCAACTAAAAAATTCAATTCTTGCTCAAGATTAATCAAAATATTTCTCTAACACAAAATGATCGAAGTTATTCTTTCGAAATTCGCTTTTTAGATTTTTATATATTGTGCATTGATAGATATTATTTGTTTTGAATGAGGAACAAATCAAAATTGTTGTCCTTAGGGAAAATCAAGCATTTTTTGTGTTGACTTAGAGAAAACAAGAATATTATTGCCTTTTATTACTTTTTAGTGGATGTTGGTGTTCTCTATATTCAAAGTCAGACTACCACCCACCCACACCCTAGCATTCATTATTTTGTATATATGTCGCCACCAACAAATCATTAAATCTTTAATTGGTTTCTTTTACAGGCGTCGCGGGATCTACCCCATTTTTACATTGAAAATATATTTGAATTGTGATGATGAATGTTTTAGACGGCAAAATATAAAGACCTTCGCGATACCGTTATTGCCTATTATGAAAATCGGAGGAAAAGCTTCAAAAATTTCAAGTATGGTGACTAATAAGGTGCATCATGTTACAACCCACCATTGGATGCAACGATTTAATAAAAATGGCTTGGCTATGGTACACAAATAATTCAGAAGACGATGTAGGCGAACCAAAAGGTTCTATGCTCTCGTTTGTGAAGGTTTTCATCCCATTTTCATAATGGACAATAACGGTATCACGAAGGTCTTTACTTTGTGCCATCAACAAATTCATCAGCATAATTCAAAGATCCTTTTAATGTGCAAGTAGTCGGAATTCTACGAGAGTGTGGGTGGGTGTGAGTGTGGGATGTGGATGTGGGCGTCAATCGAGAGAAAGACTGCCATATCTACCTTGAGGAAAAGACAAATACAATCTGCTTGTACTCCACGTTTACTTTCCAGCAATCGATTATTTTGTCGAGATTTAGATGAATTTTTAAATAATAATTTATTGTGACTGGTGACAGAAAAGAAATAATTTTAAGAAATGCAGATTTTAATTTGCCAACGCGTTTCATGTTCTTTATTGAAATATTAAAACACTCCTCAGGGCTCTGCATTAGATGTTCAGGCACATGAGACAATAAAACAAAGTCGGACAAAAACACAGACGATCAAAAAAATAAAAGAAATAAAAAAATAAGAATAAAAGAAGAAAATAAAGATAACATAACGTAATTCTTTGATGAGGAAAGAGAGAAAAAAAACTTTACTGAAAAAGATGTTGAATTGCAAATTGTAATATTAGAACCCTTTTGTCTTCATCATTTTAATTATGCGACACTATAAAAAATACAATTTTGTAGATATTAGTGAAATAAATCTATTTATTAGATTTAGATCATTCTTCTTCTAGATAATTCTTCAATACAAGTTGTCTACTTTAACCTTTTTACCAATATTAAAAAATCAAATTCATATTTATGTATTATATCAAGATTTTAGGGTGTGGGTGTGGGTGTGGGTGTGGGTGTGGGTGGGTGAGGGTGTGGGTGTGTGAGTGTGGGTTTGGATGTGCGTGTGTGTGAGCGTGGG